GAGAAGATGAGGCTGGCACCTCCCTAAGGAATTCATGGTGTTGTGGCTGGCTGGCTTTGGAACTAGGGGTGTGTCTGGGGAGATTTCTTTCTGGAGGTTGAAGCTAATAAACGCAACAGAACTGTATTTGCATTGTCTCTTGGAGTTCTTTGAGCTGAACCTGACATCAATCTCGGGATTGTTGACGGGAGAGTTGAACTTCACCTGGCAAAAGCATTTCTAGATTAGGAAGGAAAACAATATTAAGGGGTTTAAGGAAAATGTTATAAAGTATTACAAAACTGGAGATAATTCACACAAAATGTTATAAAGTATTACAATACTGGCAAATTCACAGAGAATAACTTTCAAAGCTGCTTAATTTTAATATTTTTGTCTTTATGAAGCTTCCATTTAAGCAGATTACTTTGAACTCACCCTGTAGATTGGTATAGCTCCAAATACAATGCCAATATCTTTGTTTCCAGATTTGAAACTTTCCAAAGGGTATTTATTGATCTGTAATATTAAAATTATATACTTTCAGTTCCAAGAAAATAATTGTCTCTCAGTTGCATTGTATTTAATACATTAATTTTGTAATTATAAAATCTGCTTTGAGTTGAATTCAGCTCCTATGACTTCATGGATGTACAGCTTTTTTAGCAAACATAATGGTGGCTAGGTGTAGTCCTGATTGGTAGGCTAGACTGGGAAGTAAAACAATCTCCAGAAGGTGGCAAGGCATACCATTTGTATACTATTACCAAGAAAAACTAGATGGGCATGTCTATAAATGTCTATAATGTCTATAATGGGCATGTTTATAAAGTCTATAAAGTCGAGTTCAGTTCAAGGAAACTTTACAACAGCAATATTCATCTTCCTTTGGTTATTTGAACATAAGTTTGTATGTACAAATAAAGGAAAGTTGGTGCTACTTTCATTCTCCAATGTAAGGCAGATATTTTCTCTTAAAAATAAATACTTCAGAAGTGTGAAATTTAAGCCTTGCCTAGTATAAATAACAAAAATAATCTAGCAACATCTGATTATTATAATGGCTAATCTGAGTCATACATCTGTCAGAAGAATGATAGTTCTCAAATTCAATATTATGGAGTTGGAAAAATCAAAAGCTTGTCTAGCTAAACCCAAAAGTCTTATCTGGGTGGCTTGCTACCTTATCCAAAATCCAATATCCAGAATTGTGCCTCCCCAAATAAGATAGCTGGGCTAGGCATTTTGAATAATCAGGCAAGATTTGACAGTGTTACTACCTCTAACTAACCTTTTGAATAAGGCAGTGTTTCTCAACCTTAGCAACTTTAAGACGTGTGGACTTCACTTTTCCAGAATTCCCCAGTCAGGAGTTGAAGTTGCTAAGATTGAGAAACACCGCAATAAGGCAAAATGAAGTTTCAGCAGAAAGTTAGTACCTTGGGAGAAGCCAGGGCTTTGAAAAACTTAAAATCCAGATCAACTTCGTATGGGCTAGGCTTTTTCACAGTTAAAGATGATTTGGTCAGTGTCTTCCATCTATTGAAAAGACATAGTTGAATAGCAATATTATACTTGCAAAACAAAGGGAACATTCAGTTTCATTATTATATCATTGATGAATACCATTAATCTCAATTCTAATATGGTCATCAAAAGGGGGAAAAAAAAGAGAATAGTGCTCTCTGCTAGTTTAATGGTGCAATCTGCTTGGGCGTCACTCCGGTGGGAGGAAAAATGCTGGTGGCGCCTTGCAAAAAGGAGTTGGGAGCAGTTGCCGGTAAGCGCGAAAAAAAAACCGTGCACGCCCG